TGGTTAGATCTAATAAATGTATAAAATTTACACTCGAAATTTTGGCTCGTCCTTGGCCGTATTAACTAAATTCCATTCAACTCGAAATTTCCATCTACAAAACCATTCTACAATTATGTTTGTGATGTTACTCTGAGTGTGCATCCACACCGGGCAAGCTGAAAAGTTAGTTGCGGGTTCGATTCCCACCGTGGCCAAGCTAACTTTTCACTGAGTACATAACACCAACACACACAAAAATAATCATTCTACAATTAGTTCTATCGAGTGAGAAGTCCTGATAGCCAAATTTGTCTGCTCGACGACAGTAATTCTACAGTATGCTCACTTGCTTTGTTCTTTTTCACAGGAACCTAACCCAGATGATCCTCTTAATAAAGGTATAGTCAATAATGTGTTTTAATCATTGTTAGACCCGGATCGAGACGAATCCCGTGAACTATTGCCCGAAGTGATGATATTTCCCGCGAGAGCAAAGCCCCAGGGTAGTATTTCGAGGGTAATATTTCGCCGTATCCCCCGAGCGGTCTATGACTTGTATATTACACGAGCGGTCTGTGACTAAGTGACATTAGTGACTTATAAATTAACTATTTGAGTACAATGTTTTATTTTTCTATTCACACGAGTTTTTGTCGCTTTTCTTTTAAATTATTCGCTGCATGAGGTGGAAAATGTTTTCTCCTTTCTGGAAATCTGGGTTTATGGCTCCGCATTTTCTGGAAAAGATTGCAATAAATAAGGAAAATAACAAAATTGTCATTTGTGGTGTTGTCGTGTGAAGCAATATATATGATTTATTACTGATAAATACATTGTGAGATAAATCTTATATTACTGATAAACACATTGTGAGATAAATCCGTAGTTGTTAAGTCTTACATTATTAAAAAACAAATTTCCTACTGCAGGCTATATGAATATTTTTTATGAAACTATTCCACTGACTGTAATTTAGGTACACTCATTCCAGTAGTCAGGTAATTAGCAATTTCGATATTCAATCAGTCTAATTTTCAGAATTAGCTATCAAACATAAAAAATGTCCGTGAAAATTTCTGCAAAAACGTGGATCCTAAAACATTTCTAGGAACTGGGTTACCAGTTTCCGATACTTTTTCCGCTTCTAATTATTTGATTATTGCACTACATAATAATATTCGTGAAAAAATTCAGTACATTTTTTTCGAAATACAGTACCAAAAAGTGAATACAGTTACAGTGCAGACAAATGAAATACAGTGCAAACAGTGAAAATAATACAAAAACCCAAACATTACGAGTGAGAAAATTTTCTAATAATAAAAATTGTTTCTATTAAAGTTATCTATTTCGCATGTGACTTACGCATGGACATGACTGCATAATTTTTTCAAGTATATTATTAATAAGTAATAGTAAATACGGTTTCTCGTGGAATTTGGAAAAACATACACTCGTGAGCAGTGGCGAAGCCAGCCCGACAGTTTGGTCATGCTATGCAAATTTTAAATCATCATTCATTTCTTCAAAAATTGATTGTTTTCACTGTCTATGAACACGGAAATATTTGCATAGCATGACCAAATTGTCGGGCTGGCTCCCCACTGCTCGTGAGTTTTCAAGGACTTCAAATTGCACTCGCTATGTTCAAATTGCACTCGTCCTTCGGACTCGTGCAATTATCACTCGTTCATGTTTTTTCCCAAATTTCACTCGAAACCTATACAAATCTTGAACGATTTTTTCTTCTGCATCCTAGACGCTGCAGAAGTGCTTCGATCAAACAGAAGGTTGTTTGAACAGAATGTTAATAAAGCGATGAGAGGAGGTTATGTAAACGGTATATACTTTGAAAGATGTCTTGGACGGTAAACAATTTGAACAGGAAAATGTAAACATCAACGGCATGATACCCAGCATGAATGCACAGTATATATAGTATAAGAAAGAAGAAATTCGACGGGAGGGGGTAGTTTTCTTTCTGTACATTGTACAGAGTACCACGGAATTCTGAAAGTAACGATCCTCGAAAGAACCATTGGCTGTATTTATATCTGAAGACGTCTTAAACGTCTGAGACGAATTACTTACTGTATGTAATGTAAATACTTAAAGTTCGACGGAAGAATGAAGCTTTCAAAGTGACTTGACAGCCAGCAGTCGGCTATTTACGCGGCTAAACTCCCAGTATTATGGTGACTAGTTAAAATCTACCTTTTATAAAATCAACAGAACCCAACCCCAAACCCTTCCCCATAGCTAACCCTAACTGGTAAATCTGATAAGCAATTGAGAGTTAAAAAAAAAAACAGAAAAAATCTTTCCGTATAGATGCAGGCATCATTTCATGTAAAAGTTTAATATTTTTGTAGTCTGCTGTTTGTTAGCTCAGGCTTTACTATGTCTCTGAGAAACTAGAGCAAGTGCTTATTCAGAATAAGTACATTTTAGAAACACCATGCGTCATAAAAACCAAAGTTACCTGAAGAGTGAAAAACAAGTTCGGGTAACCAACCGCGGAGAAACGTCGGCAAACTTTTGTGTTTATTTCTGGACTATCTATGACGGATTTGAAAAGAAAACAGAACAATACGCGCTGCAGTTGTATCGATCTTATATACTTGCATTTTTTAGCTTTTAGGTACTTGTTGGTTATTTACCACTAAAAATGAGCATTTACGTGCAGAAATTGAAAAACATCGCAGAATGCAACTGCAAAAAATTTACATTATTACAAAATAAATATCAGGTGGAAAAATAAATATTCGCTGTATGGCTATCTGGTCACTTCGTAAAAATTAACGTTGTCTGTTAGATTCGTCTAAATGACGTATTTAACAAACGTCTTTATCGTCTTAGACGTTTAACCGTCTACTATAAATACGTGACGAGCAAATTTAGACGCACTTAAGAAAGAGCCACTCAGACGAATGTCCCAAATCCAAATACTCTATACCGTATTTTTGCGATTACGTTCTTGGTGATATGGTCAACAGTTCAGCTCGTATTTATATTATTCGCACGTAGCACCAGTGGCGTAACTTGTGGTAAAGGTCCTACCCGTTTAAAGTAGCGAGTGTGGGCGGGGGCTACGTCAAGAACATGCAAAATTTCCTGAAATTCATCAGTTTCACCATTTTTTGAGCCATCAGTTTCGCCATTTTTTGAGCCAAGCGGTGCCTAAAGGAGTTACGCCACTGCTTAGCACAAAACGTTTAATTCGTCTAGATACCTAACACGTGTTCTAGTATAATAAATACGACCATTATTTTTGGGATATTTTAGAAATTTACTCTTGGGTACAGAACCTTAATCCTGGAAATAGCTTCGCCCTCCTGTCCAAAATAACCTGTCCTCGTATACCGGTTATCAATACATATGTACAGTATATCGATTAATATTTGCATAAGGAGTATAGGCATGGCCCGGTAAAATAGGAAGACGAGTTGCAACGAATTCTCAGATTTGGCTCTGGGGGTGTCGAGAATTCGGGGGGGGGGGGAGATGAGCGAGGCACGAGTTGGGACATTCTCGTACCCAGACCCCTTCTTACGCGCAGTCAGCGACGAAGGGCTCTGGCAAAATCCAACCCAGATACTATAAAAACATGGTATCCGGTTATACACTGCGCATGCTCAACTCTTATAGGATATGTGTGAAATTCCAGTAGTTTGTTGCCAAATACTCATTTAGTGTGTTGATTTACATAAACTTTAACTTTGATTTTCTCGGCTTTATAGACAATGTTTATTTTTAAAATTACTTCGCCAATGAACTCATAAGATGAGTTGTTTTTTAAGCCATTTACAACATTCGCGTCCGTGTTGTATTTGATATACAAACTCTCGCTTTCTGCTCGAGTTTGTATATCCAATACAACACGGCCGCTCATGTTGTAAATAGTACAAGTGAACTGTTTAACAGAACTCATCTATCTATCTGTATACATGGTCATTACTCCACTGTTGTCACTGCTGTTTTTTAATATAAAATGTTGTCACACGAAAATAACGCTAATTGATTTTAGGGTGCTTTTTGTTATTAACTGATGTAGTTAATAATTACTTACGGTAGTCTATTTTACACCGATTTTACATAGTACTTTTCACTTAAAAAATGTAATTTTTTGTTCAGTCACAATATAAAATTGTATATATGGCCACATAAAATAAATTCCTTGATTCTCATCACTACACTTTGAAAATGTCGAAGAGCCGGGAGGTTTATATTTTATATTTTATATTTATATAATTTATCATCAATAAATAAAAAAATAATTCCTAACATTTAATATTTCTGTGATTTCCAAAGTAAAGTATCACAAACCGAAATAAACATTATTTCTCCACGAACAATGACTGAACCCTTCAACTGAATGCGAAGTTCCGTTAAAATGCAATGAAATTTCTTTCAAGGTTCTATTTGTTTGAAATTGGCAGTTTAAAATGGCAATAAAAACCCAATTTTAAATATAAAAAACTTAACTGTCTTGAAATTTTTTGTCGGGCGGTACATTTATATTGTATAACAAAATATAAAAAAAATTCACGCGGCTCTTAAAATACAGTCGGGCGGTGATGAGAATCAAGGAATTTGTTTTATGTGGCCTATATAAACTTTTAATAAATAGGATAAATCTATCAGCCTAATCATAAAAAAATGTATTGGTTATAAAACATTGTTTGTTGACTGAATACTGCAACCTGCTGAGATCATTTTAGCTTTGTCTTTTCTTCATGGAGTAAATCAGGCTTTTAGGTTTCAAGAAATTGTGACATTGTTATATGTTCTGCCCCTCAATAATACAGATCAATTAATAAACAGCATAATATGTAGTTATGAGACTGACTGCTGCCTTGACACACCATGTACGATTTTTTTTGGCCACTCTCTCTTTTGCAGCATTTTTTTCAATAGCTTATACTATTTAGATTCTTTAATTATAGTTAACGTTGAGTTTTCTAGCTTCATGCATTGCTTTTAATAATACATATTGCTATGAGGTATAACATTTGGTTCAGGGCCTCTTTTAAGGCAGGGCCATAGGAAGCTCTTTTCGATTGGGGGGGGGCTGAAAGCGAGGGCCGAAGGCCCGATGAAATTTTTAAATGTAAAGTCTCTAAAGTGCCATTTCCAGGACTTTGGGGAAGATTTGACAGAATTCTGATGGTCAGAAACCAGCGTTTTAGTGTGTTGAAATTTACAATTTAGTAGTACTAAATGGATGAAGGCATATTTAATGAACTATATATTAGATAAGTTGCAGGAAAATATGAGTAATATCTTCATCCTTTGCAGTTTGTCATGGATTAAATGATAAAGGTCTGCATGATTTTGAAAATGATTATTAGCAAATTATTGGGGGGGGGGGAGGATTGCAACCCCCCTGGTTGCTTCGGCCCTGTAAGGATGTGTAACTGGAAGGGACATATTTAGCGGGGGACCTGGAGTCGAACATCAAAGGTGGGAGCCTCTAGAGGGGTCTGGTGGCATTCCCCCCCCCCCCCAAGCTCACTTTGATGAGTTTTCCAACGAGAAATTAACATTACACTAGTCCCTGAAAATCAAACCAGCTGATCTTCTGTGACTGGTCAAATCGATCCCTGCAACCATGGTGTTTTGCAACATTTTCCCACCAAATAATGGGGCAGGATATTTTTCCCTCAGTTTGTTAGTGCAGGTATTTTTTTGTTCAGAATAGCCTTGCAGGAAATTTTTTTCAAACTCAACCCCCCCTCAAAAGTTAAATGGTCGGCTCCTAAAAACAAAGCAGTAACAACAGTGGAGTAATGACCATGTATACAGATAGACGAGTTCTGTTAAACAGTTCACTTGCAGTATTACAGTAATTAACTAATGAGTAAAATCATCTGGCACTAGATAGAGCAAATATTAATGTGGGTTTAATGCTTTTGAAGGCTTGATTTCAACCTGCATTTTTGTTACAACCATTTTTACCTCATACAAGGCAGTTAAACTTTATTTGGCAAAAGACACTAAATGAGTATTTGGCAACAAACTACTGGAATTTCACACAGATCCTATAATACTAGAGACCCTTTACAATTAAATTGTTTTTACACAATGCAATATAATGCATATAATATAGACATGCAACTGAAAGTAACTGTTTGCAGCATTGTTCCATCTTCACTTTATACTGTCTCTATAGGACCTAAAAAGCACAGAAATGAGATACCATTATTTTACAACTTTCAATTTCTTTCAAATTTATTAATTTTAATCTGCTTCTTTGGAATAAAACACCATTGAGGTCTTCTCAGAAGAGTGATAATTAATCATGACTATGACTTTAATTAATAAGGAACATATTACACAAGCAGGGATGGGATGGTATATATTCTCACAAGGCATTGCGTTTAAGCACCCACCATTAACATAAATAACATCACTACAACGCACCTGCTATTCTTTCTACCATCCTGAATCATTTGTTCCTTTAACAAATCCCACAAGCGACATAATTTGTTTGCGTTGAAGCCGTTGATTAGGTCGATAGAAACAAATATGAGTCTTGTCCATATAAAATTCACCATTTCCAAAACAATAAAGTTCATGACCAATTTCTCATGTGTTAACTTATGGTATAATTCACCGATCTCTATCAGAAATTCCCATTTGAAAGGTGTTGTCACGACTGTATTCATGATTCATCTCAGTCGCACTCAGAAACATCGTCAAAAATATAGACACGTTTCTTTACGATTGAGTTCATTTGAATGTAAAAGAGGTCCCCAACATTCTTGAACATGTGCTTTTGCTTAAAATACCATATTTGACTTGATTTATTCCTCTATTGCGAGATAACAGAACAAAACAGTTGAAAATACCGTATTAATCACAATAGCTCACTGCTCAAGGTGGTCACAGTAAGATGGCGGCCGCGCGCGACTTCCGGCTTCAATTTCTGTATCTATAGTTGCGCTCTCCATATATTTATAGCTCAGTGGTACCAATTCACATTACCGACGAAGAAGACATGAAAAATATGATGACCTCTGCGCTCAAAGAATCATGTGGCTTTGGTTTTCTATAATTATTGCTGCTACTTATTACTACATTATACAATCATGTTGTGTTGATCATATGTTACAGTACTTCTCAAAAGTAACCTATAATTAATAACATGTCAAGGACGCTTTCCACGCATTGCAGTGTAAAAGCCGGTTTTCCACTAGCGAATTTTCTCGCTCGAAGCGACCTTGTCCTTTGTCGGTATCACTTCTCACCTCAGCAAGACGTGGCAAAATGGATGCCGCCGACAAAGGAAAAAAGTCCCTTCACGCAAAAATTTCGCTTATCTAGGGAACACATTACAAATTCATAGTAATACAACCGTGTTCATTTCGGCAATATTTGGATACGTTACCCATACTGGAAAGTTCGTAATTGACACGCCGAATATTTCCGCCGACTGTTTTCTACCTTCATTTTATACGCCAAAGCGTGTGATATTCTTACGCCAAAGACCTAAACGGCTAAACTGACGAAGTCTATTAAGTCTATGAGTTTAACAATTAACATTAGTTTAAACATATTTATTTGGCGCAATTGCCCCAGGAGCACACGTTGGCTCATCTAGGGGGCTCTTGCACAAAAATAAAGATTTACATATCAAAAAGTTCAAGCATGCAACACACAAATATAACACAATCACACAAAATCAATAATTATAGCGTTTTGTATATATCACAATCAGATCATCGCTTTGAAACACATTAATTACCTACTGCAACAAGCCCTCAGAAACACAAACATCGAGAATTTTCTAGTACCTCAGACAGCTTGTTACAGTTAAACAGGTACTGACAATATTTTTTTACCTTATTTACGAGCTGAGAAACGAGATGTATCAATAATAAATCTTTGTACAGCAAAAAACAATCTATGGTTTACATTAAAAGCAACGTTATTGCATCCAGAAAGCAAAAAAGAAAGTTTCCCAGTTCTATTAGAATTGAACCAATAATTCCCAAGACATTCTGCAGCCGTAGTAAGTAAAATCGAACGGTAAGTATCCCAAAGCGGGCAATGCAACAAATAATGTTCAGTAGTTTCACGATAGTATCCGCACGCACATGTGGGAGACGGTATGCAATTATGACGGAAAAGGTCATCATTTAAAGTACTATTACCTAACCGAAGTCTCGTGTGTAAAACTGAAGGATACCTAGCACCCACTTCGAAAATCTTCGGACATTTTTTTTTACAAAATAGACTCTTAATTGAAGTTTTAAAATTAGTAACAGACGGCAAATTTCTAATTGAATCAGATAAGGAATTCCAAGCAGATATAGCCGATGGAAAGAACGACTGTTGAAATCTAGATGAAGAACATAGAAAATTGCATATATCATCACTGTTGCGGCTACAATTAACATTGTAGCCCCCCCCCCCAAACAAAATATGAAAATACACTACTACGTATAGTAGTATACATAACATAATTATCTGTAGACTACAATACATTGACAATGTCAAAAGTACATGAAATATAAACGATGTTCTACAGTTGGTTTCCTTCCAAACGTTCAAAATTTCCTTAATTTTGAAAAAATTTCCTTGCAATAAAAATGATTGAATTTTACCTAATTTAAAACTGATTTTATAGTAATTTCTGTAATTTATCTCAAATAACAGGGTATTTCTTGTTTTAGGAGAAACATAGACGTTACGGGGGCTGATTTATCAAAGGGGAGAGACAAAGTGTTTACATAAATTAACACGAAGGAGAATAACCAGGGGGGTATGGGGGTCCTCCCCAAGAAAATTTTCAGATTTTGCATCTCGTAGGACAGGATTTTCAGCATATTTTGAAGCACATTTCCTTGGCAATTGCCGTATTCTTAGGGTTTTTTAGAAATAAGGCAATTTCCTTCACATTTCCTTCAGTCTTCCGAAATTACCTTCAAATTTCCTTCAGATTCGAATTTCCTTATAATTTCCTTGAACTAGTTAAAATTGTCTTCAAAAAGGAAAATTTGTTCAAAATGGAAGCCCTGGAGTAATGACATAACGATCGAGCGCAAAATTCGAATCGTGTTTTTAAATCACCGTGTCCGTACGTTAATAATAAATAAAGGATATTAAAAGAAACTTTCATTCAATTCTTAATTTCCCTAATCCTTATACATTTTACATTTACGGGTTGTGAAGTTGGATTAAAGTACATATTTTAGACTTTTACGCCCATACCTAATTTTAGTGTGCAGTGATAACCAATTTGTGCAGTGATAAAAGTAAAATGTGCAGTGATAAAATGTAAAATGTGCAGTGATAAAATTCTGGAAATTTTTGGCATAAAATGTGCAGTGATAAAAAATTCTTAAAATTAGGTATGTTTACGCCAACTACTTTTGAGATGATCTGTTCACGCCACGCCAGTTTGATATGGCCAAATAAACAGGCAAAATTACGCCAATTTTGGCGTAGTCGACTACGTGGCGTAGCCGAATATATTCGGCGTAACATACGAACTTTCCAGTATGGTACGTTACATCATACTGTATGAGCAAGCATGGTGTGTGTAGTTTAAATTAAAACATTAAATTTGATCATCATTGTTTTAATAACTCGATTTTAATATATCTCTTCGGAACCAGTTCTGGAATCCACTTGGAGCATGCTCCAAACACATTCACAGCATTAGGTTACTTCTGGGCAGAATACTGTATGTGTTTAAGCATATGCAGTACAAAAACAATTTATACTAGCTTGCTCAAAAACAATTTATATTCTTATATACATTTTAGTCTTTAGACATCAGTCTACTCTTTGTCACAAGGGTCACTTTGAAATTTTCTGACCTATCAGCTTTTTGACGTTATATAATGTTCACATTTTTTTTGTCTATGTTAAATAAATAAATAAATTCAATATTGTTCAATATTGCAACTTGCTGTATCATTATGGAAAATATAGTTTCGCTAGTGATTATAGACCAAATAAAAAATATGCGGGTTTTCGGTTTCTCCACCCTTTTGGCCACTAAAATCACCGACCCCGATCTCTTTATCGTTTGCAAAGAACTTGGAGCAATAATTTTGCCAGTGCAGCTAGTTATATAAAGTATAAAGTATATTGTGTACTATAACCCTACCTAAATTTTTAAAACAAGAAATTTGGGTATTTCTTTTTTTGGCTTTACAGTGTTATAAGTGACACCAGTTTGTGCTAGTAGTGAGGTGCAATTAGCACTAACCATACCTTGCAACATTCACAAAATGCAGTTATTATATGGGGAAATGTAATGTTAAAGTGGAAGTCAAGTCCGTTTTGCGCATCGGTTCTGCTCAAAACATCCTCTAATGTAAACATTTCTGTCGGAAACTTATATTTCTACTCGAAAAACTGTTTATTTTAAACTTAAATTCATTGAAACTCTCACATTTGATTTACAAAATCTCTCACTAGCGCCCGC